ACCAAGAGACAGTTGTTTGAATAGAACAAGGGGATACTGTGTGGTTTAAAATCAGGAAAGGTGTGAGTCGGGGTTTTATCTTTTCACCATACTTATTCAATCAGTATTTTGAGCAAATAATCCAAGAAGGTGGACTATATGAAAAAGAATGTGGCATCAGGATCGGAAGAAGAATTATTAACAACATGCAATATGCAAAGACAACTTTGCTTGCTGAAAGGGAAGAGGATTTGAAGCACTACTAATGAAGATCAAAGACTATAGCCCTCAGAATGGATTACACCTCAACCTAAAGAAAACAAAAAATCCTTGCAATTGGAGAAATAAGAACATCATGATAAATGGAGAAAAGATTGAAATTGTCAAGAATTTCATTCCACTTGGATCCACAATCAATACCCGTGGAAGCAGCAGTCAAGGAGTCGAATGACAGATTGTATTGGGCAAATCTGTTGCAAAATACCTCTTTAAAGTGTTGAAAAGTAAAGATGTCACTTTAAAGACTAAGGTGTACCTGATCCAAACCATGGTATTTTTAATTTCCTCATATACATGTGAAAGTTGGACAAAGGAATAATAATAAGGAAGACCTCAGAAGCACTGATGCCTTTGAATTGTGGTGTTGGCAAAGAATATTGGATATATTATGGACTGCAAGAAGAATAAACAAATCTGTCTTGAAGGAAGTACAGCCAGAATGTTCCCTAGAAGTGAGAATGGCCAGACTTCATCCCTAGTATGTTTTGTCATGTTGTCAGAAGGCATTGGTGTCTGGAGAAGGATACCATACTTTGTAGAGTATCAGAGAAAGAGGAGAAAACCTTCAATGAGAGGGACTAACACAATGACTGCTATGTTGGGCTCAAGCATGGCAATAATTTTGAGAATGGCACAGGACCAGGCAGTGTTTCATTGTGTTCTCTATGAGTCTGAACCATCCCACAACATCTAACAATAATAAGTGTTTAATTTACTACCAGAAATGAAATATGTACTCAGAAAACAATGCCTTCTAAATTTCCTGGTATCAAAGGTCTGATTTCATCCAGGTCAAAGGACTTCCTTCCTTCTTTCCTTCCTACTCTCCTCTGCTCCCTCACTTGTCCTCTTCCTCCATCTCTCCCTTCTCTTTCCCTGTTACTTTCCTCTTCTCCCCTTCCCCCCCTCCTTCTTCTATTTCTCTTCCTCCTCCTGCTCTGTCTTCTCATTGTTTTCCTCTTCCTTCTCTTCTTTCTCTTCCTTTTTCTTTCTCTCCTCTCTCTCCCCTTTCCTCTCCACCGTCCTTCCTTTGGTCCTCTCTTGCTCTTTTCTCTTCTTTCTCTCCACTCTTTTTCATTCACTCATGGAAGGCACTAAATCTAGGATCCAAACATTAATTTTGAAAGGGTAGAAGATAAGAATCCATCTTCCTGGGGCCTCACGTATGTAACAGAAGTGTGTTTCAATAATCTAGATTTTAAACTGAGCTATGCAATCTACTTCCATAGAGATACCACCTTGGAAACCCAAGGAGGGGTCACTATGAGTTGCAACCAACTCCAAGACAGTGAGTTTGTTTTTTAGTTTTATGACTGTGAGAAGAATAAGTCAAAGTTACACAGGAGTCACAAGGTAGAACTTGTATCTCTAGTATTCTCAAGCTAGAGATTACTTGAATGGTGGCTTTCTGGAGTTAGGTTTAAGCAGGTTTAACCAGCCCTCCCAAATCTGGTATGAGGCTTAAGTGGATTCCTTTGAAGGACCTTTTTATCTTCCCACACAAGGAAGCTTCCAGTGAAGAAACTCCACCCCTCCTCTGAATAGGACAAAGTGAACTTGTGGTTATTTATGGGTCATAACACATAAACAGACACACATGTGGTGGTAGAAGGAAAAAAATTAGAATACATTCATTCTAAGTCAGCATGTATTCTCCAAATTATGACTTCCAGGGATTTAGTAGTATAAGAAGATTGCCTTGCGGTCCTTAACATTTAAGTCAGTAAGAGTGGGTAAATGAAAATTGTGGATGGTTAAAGATGTTTTTACATTATAGTATAGTATTCTTTTAGTAATGATATCCATTTTACCTTGTTGTTGTTGTTGTTATGTGCCGTCGAGTCAGCCCCGACTCATAGCGACCCCTCCTTGGGTTTCCGAGGCAGTATCACTATGGAAGTAGGAATGCCC